AGGCTGGGAGATGAGTGGAACCCAACCACCCATAGCAGAGCATCCGAGCGGAGGGGAAAAGGCAGCGCTCAGCGGGTTTGGAGACAATGCCCCGGGATTAAAGGCTGCAGAACTGCTCTGCTGCATTGCCAGACAGTGAGGGGATGCCGTAATCCCTCTGTTTTTGGCACTGTCCAAAGCGTAGGGTGGGGTGGGGGTGCATCTGTGTAGGGTTGGCTGCCCTGGAGGGGCGACCCAGGGTGCCGTGTTTGGAGCATCTCCATCCCAAACCCCTTTGGAAGGGATGCAGGAGGAAGGAAGGGACGGCTGCCCAGGATTCCCTACTCGTGTTCTCGCCTCTCCAGGGGTGTTGGAGGGATGGGGGTGGTTACATCTGGGAGTCCCCTGGTGCTGGCACGGCCCTCTGCCAGATGGAGGAATGTGCATTAAGGCTCACGCTGCTGTTTGTTTGTGCTGGGTTTGCTTCTAACCTGGTTTTACCCCGACGCGGAGCAGCACGCAGCCATCCGGGTCCTGGCAGGAAAGCGACGACCCCAAGAGGGAGCGTTGGAGGTGGTGCTGCAGGACCTGCGGTGCTTTGGGGGGGGGTGCTGGGCTCTGCATCCTGGTGCTCGTAGGGCACGGTGCGATCAGGGGGGTGCAATGGGGAGAGCGGTGCCCCCTGTGTGGGCATCGGCTCCGTGGGACCCCCGTCTCCTTGCCTCCCTTTGCACCCCCACACCCAGCCCCATCTCAGGGTCTCTGCTTCAACGCTGCACCCCAGGATGGGGACGGCGAGCAGCGGCTCCGCGCTGCCTTTCCTCACCCAGGGAGCGGCACGTTTCTCACCCTGCTTTCAGAGCAGCGCAGTGTGGGACCCCCATGGGGGCGCTGCAGCCCCACAGATCCGTCTGGCAGAGGCAGAAGCTCTGGGTGTCAGCGATGCTGCGCTGCTCGGATCCCGGCGCCGCGGCACTGCGCTCGCTGGGCAGCAGAGATCCTTAAAACAGAACTGTCAAAGCAAAGAGCTCGTTTCCTTGGCAACGGTCGGAGATGGGAGCGTTGTTTTTTAGCTCCTGCCCCTCGGGCCGAGTGGTTTTTGGCTGTTTGTTGGCAAATGGGAAGGAGAACCCCTGGGGGGAGAGGGGGAGGGGGGTCACCCCTCCCCAGGTATGGGGCGGAATGGGGGTGGTGGGAGGCTGGGGGGGGG